CCTCCTGGTTCATGGGTCCAAGCTCAACCACTGAGCCACACGAGCCAAACTTAAGTAAAATATTTTAAATATATTTTTATTAATTTCAGAGAAGAAGGAGAGGGAGATAGAAACATCAATGGGGGCAGTTAGGGGCGACCAGGCAGGCAGGCAGGTGAGCGATTAGGAGCCAGCGGTCCAGGATTGTGAGAGGGATGTCCAACTGCCGGCCCTGGGATCGGGACTAAACCGGCAGTCGGACATCCCCCAAGGGGTCCCAGATTGGAGAGGGTTCAGGCTGGGCTGAGGGGACTCCCCCCAACCCCCATGCACGAATTTCATGCACCGGGCCTCTAGTATTAAATAAATAGGTAGAAAGTAGGAAAACCCACTTTCTACTTTTGACTTTGGAGGAGACCTTGCTGGATACCTCCCTTTAACATTGAATTAAAATGGTAGTGTGGAGGTGTAGACTGGGAAGTCAGGAAAGAACCTGAATACTTTGGCTTCTCTGCTTAATGGAAAGGTTCCAGAAGATTCTACATGTCTTGTGGGTTAAGAGCTTGCAGACCTGGTATGAGACTACTGTGGGGAGGGACAAGAGGTTCAATGGAAGAGCATCCCAAGTAAAATTAATTTTATTTCTTTAACAGGTGTATATAGGTCTACTCCTCTGAAACTAACATTATTAGGAGTACCTACCTAATTGTTACAGCTGATCACTCATTCTATACTCAGGTTGTTCTAAACACATGCTACCATGTATGTTTACCTGCCTTTTTATTTATATTTCCTGCTTCCCTGGGTAGAATTCTGCAAGCTACAGTGTTTTCCTGGTCCTCTGCTAGCCAAATTTACAAAATGATCTTAAAACCATTCTCTGCTCTCCCAGGAAGTTGGCCCCAGGGGCTACTCCATAACAGGTTTCCTTTCAATCATGCCATTGCTTTAGGGGATCTTCCCATGCTCTGCCTCTTAACCCTACTTGGCTCTTCTTACTTCTAACCCTTTGAATTAATTTTTTAATCTGTCACTTCACCCTTTAAGTTTTGGATTTTTCTTTGTTTCTGCCCATCCCTCATCAAACTCCAATTCTCTTTTGGCCCAGGTCCCAATGGGTATAGGTCAGTCTGGCCAATTTCAGTGGTCATCCCTGCTCCCACAGCACCACCACTCACACAGCCCCATCCAGGATATATCACATGAAAGTATTTTCTTCACCTACTAGATACTCAATGTCTGATGTTTATGCTGCAGCAGGACAATTCTTTCTGGTAGCACTTTTAGAAAAGTCTTAACTAGCAAATACATGCATAGATTTTAATTTCTGAGAATATTTCAGTAGAAAATGGATATGTTGATCCTCAAAATACCTTTGCAACTCTGTCATATACTTCCATAGCCATGATCCATTTACACAGACCCTCAGCTGCAGAAGAAGCCTTAGCAATCTTAGGGGGGTCAAATTCAGGGTTTGTTAAATAGTCACCACGAATCTTCTGCATAACATTCACCTACAAAACAAAGATTTAGATCAGATCTTAAAGTTTCAACATATATCACACAATTATGAGGTGAAAAATAATCACATATAGTAAAAAAATTTTGTATACAAAAGTTATGTTGTCTTTAAAAACCAGTCAGTACTTTGAGATAATTTTAAAATAAGCATAATTATAGCTGAAATATAAGTCATTTTTGAGCAAAATATGCAAACTTGTTATAGATATTGAGGGAAAATATTTCTTCTAACAAAATTAAAAGACTTTTGCGGATTTAAGAAAACATGAAGACAAGAAGAAAGGACAATTAAATATTAATAAATAAACAAGGGTACAGATGGAAAAGAATGATTTATACTTTATCTCTCATAAATTTGTGTATCTGATTAATAAACTATTATATGAACACTCTTAAAGAACTTTTACACTAAAACAGTGAATTATTAAATGACTTTCAGTGGTTGGCAACAAGAGTGGGTCTATGCATTATGAGAATTCATAAAATAGTAACAAATGGAATGTCCCTTTATTATTTTAATCCAAAATGGAATATCTCCTTATGTTTTATACTAGAGGCCCAATGCACAAAATTCGTGCAAGGGCCTTGGCCCCAGCCCCTGCCTGCTGCTGCCGTGACCGGGGGCCTCTGCCGCCCCTGCCTCGGCCTCCACCCGCCGTGGCTTTGTCCAGAAGGACGTCCGGTCTAATTAGCATATTATGCTTTTATTATTATAGATAGTATCACATAATATTAAAGATCTTATACATCTCAACAAAGTTACATTTAGTAAAAAAAATTCAATGAAACTCACTGGAATGTTGTCCTTGTCATATTCTTTCAAATCTCTTAAGAAATTCATATCTCCCAGAAGTTTTTTGCTAGGACCCCAGTAATCAAATATCTATAAATAAAATTTTGCAAACTTATTAAATGGATAATTAAAGATGGTTTCTATAAGATTTTTCTTCTTGAAGTTTAAGATATACTTTCCAGAAAAACTATATACTTTGAAAATATTAACTTTTATCTTCTTGGAAATAAAAGATTCCTCTCCCCAAGATCATGTTATACATATCAAATGTTTAAAATATGAACATGAAATTACACATTAAATTTATTATAAAAATTAAACATTGAAAGAGAAATGATATGTGGTGTGTGAGTGTGTGTGTGTCAATGAAAATAACTTGGTTAGGTAAGAGCCTATTTATTTTCTTTATTATCTCAAAGAAGGATAGAATGACCAAAAAAATAATCTAAATTCTTCAATTCAGGGATTCTAACCTAAGTATAAAAAACTAAAAAGAAAATAAGTCTATAACTTTACTTTAGGATGGATGCAATACCTTCCTTTTTTAAGGGATATAGCCTTGAATAATAAATGATCTATAACAGCTAATTTGTATTGTGAGCTTACTGTTTGTGAAGATTTATATATAAGAGCTTTATATGTATTAACTAATCTAATTCTCATTAATTTTATGAGGCAAGTACTATGATAACCCTCTTTTTTCCCTTTCATGTATTTATTTTTTAATAACTCTCTTTGTACAGTTTCACAGAGATTAAGCATATTGCTGAAGATCACATTACTGATGGGAGTGGGATTCCTTAAGACAGGCATTCTGGCTCCAGAGCACATGCTTTTAACAACCTCACTACACTGTAACACAGCAGAATTTTGAATACCCAGAAACAACACCAATGTGGTTATACTATATATCAGATTCCTGAGAATCCTTGCTGGAAAAGCACAGGAATCCCAGTGCTCATTCAATCCCAACCCCATGAGAGTGAGGAACCCTACATAGGCAGAAAAGGAGATGGAATCAATTAGATCCACATTTTTCTGATGCTATACTGCCTCAGCTTTGCTCTGGAATAAATATAGATAATGTTTTCCATAATTTATTCTGAATCCATTTAATCTGGAAGACAATGTTTCTTCCCTGGACTGAGTACTGTTGACATTTAACCTGACAGTAGTTGCTATAAAGTATTCTGTACATTCATGAACATGATTTAAATCTGTGTCTAGTTATTACCTTTCCTCCAGTTCCTGAAGGATCTGTAATTTTTTCTGGTTTTATATCTTTCATGACACAAATAGCAGCCATAACTAGCTTAACACCAGATGGAGGATTCTTCATTGATTTCACAATTGTAATGTCAGATGGCTAAATCGAAAGAAAACAGGATATCTTCAGAATAGTTTATTTCTAAATAGTAAGCTTTTAAAATAATATTGGAGAAACGCATCAATTTTCATTTGAAATTGTAATTGTTTTTTGCTTTGCATCACTATAATAAGCAATAGAGAATTTAGCACAGATTAACAGCAATGGTTTTCAAACATCTGGAAGATCATAGATCCTTATGAGAATATTATGACAGCTATAAACCTTCCAGAAAATATATATTTTTGCACATAAACACAAAATTTGTATGTAATCACACACCAAGCCCATACATGGAACCCAGGTTAAGAACCCTAGTTTAGACAAAGACTTAATTCTATATTTTCTTATATGTAACTAGAGGCCCAATGCATGAAATCATGCAAGAATATGCCTTCCTTTCCCCACTGCTGGCACCGGCTTCCCTCTGGCACCTGGGACCTGGGCTTCCCTCACAGCCCCGGCTTCATCCAGAAGGTGGTCCAGTAGGACATCCAATCTAAATAGCATATAACGCTTTTATTATTAAAGCTATTAGAGGCCTGGTGCACAAATTTGTGCACCAGTGGGGTCCCTCGGCCTGGCCTGCGTGATTGGGCCGAAATCAACTTTCCGACATCCCCCGAGGGGTGCTGGATTGTGAGAGGGTGCAGGCCAGGCGGAGGGACCCCACCACTGCACGATCAGGGCTGGGGAGGGATGCAGGAGGTTGGCCAGCTGGGGAGGGACAGTGGGACGGCTCCAAGGCATGTCTAGCCCGTCTCACTCAGTCCCTTAGCTGGACCCCAGCAGCAAGCTAACCAACCAGTTGGAGTGTCTGCCCCCTGGTGGTCAGTGCACATCATAGCAACTGGTCAACCGGTCGACTGTCTGCCCCCTAGTAGTGCACATCATAGCGAGTGGTTGAGTAGCCTTAACATATCATTAGCATATTATACTTTGATTGGTTGAACAGATGACTGGACACTTAACATATTAGGCTTTTATTATATAGGATTAGTTTTAACTCCCTCACCCAAAAATGTAAGAAGAGGTAGGTCCCAATTCCAAACTTATTTTTTAAAAAGGTATATATTGTTATGACAGATACAATAGATTCACTTACTTAATATCCACTCCAATATCCTCTGACCTCTCTTGCAATTGCTAGAAAGCTAACAATTATATATTTTAGTTTCCCATGCAACTAGAGTTGTGAGAGGTCATTAGGTTCCACCATCAGATCACTTGAATGATAAAAGAACTCAGAATGAGTAAGTGGGGAAATGGGCAGAGTGTGAGACATCTATTTTGCCCACATGGATTATAGTAGAGATGGTGTAGCTCTGTAGGAAGGCTCTGCAAGCTTTTGACTCAGAGGGTCCTCTGGTAGACTATTTCTGCAATTGGGCTTTGAATCATTCCTGACAGCTTAGCCTATGATCTGTTTCTTCAGCTCTTCCAACAATTCTATAATCTATTTGTAAAATTCCCGAAAGAGTACTATCTGCTTATACTAAATAGAGTCAATTCTCATCTCTGCAACTGAACCCTAAGTCATATCAAATACAGTATTTGACACCAAGAATGGTGCAAGCAACAAACTCACAATGAAAAAAGAACCTAATATTGATTAAATCCAATAGCTGGAGGGGTTTGAAAACATTAAGAATCCTGTGAGTTTCAGAGAATGGAGTACTGAATGTCCATGATACACAGTGATAAAATAGTTACTTAGATTAATGCTCATGATCATCTACAATGGAATGCTTATTAAAAACAAGGCTTTGTCAGAATGACTGACTGCTGTGATAAATGTCTAAGGAGAAAATGAAGAAAGACCACTAGGTAGAATGTGGCCTTTAAATGTGCCAGAGAGCAGACAGGAAGAAAATAAGCTCAGGGTTTTTAATTCCTGACTCAAAGCACAGTGAGAGCACTAGGACATTTCTATAAATGCCCTGAAATAATCTCATGTCTTGCCTGGCTGGCGTGCCTCAGTGGTGAGCATCGACCTATGAACCAGGAGGTCACAGTTCGATTCCCAGTGGAGGCGCGTGCCTGGGTTGAAGGCTTGATCTCCAGTGTGGGGCGTGCAGGAGGCAGCTGATCAAGAATTCTCTCTCATCATTGATGTTTCTATCTCTCTCCCTTCCTCTCTGAAATCAATAAAAATAAATAATAATCATCTCATATCTTAAAACTACAAGGCTGATCTTAACTGAAAATCAGATAGAATTTGGTCCTGTGAGATGCTGAATTACCCCTACGTTGAACTCATCATCTTGTCAGGTCACTTACATTAAAGTTAGGGCACTGGTTAGAAAAAAGGCAAGTAGGTAAATTTGGTTTTAATGTAAAAACTCACTACATTATTCTTTGTATTAATTTGCTATGGATATTGAAAACATTTTTTATACATTGGTAGTGGCTTATGGATTGTGGTCAGGCCAAGTAGGTCTAAATTTTCTAACTAATTCACTTAATAAATACTTAGAGCCCTAGACGGTGTGGTTGAGTGGTTAGAGTGTCACCCCCACACCAGAGGGTTGAGGGTTCGATTCCCAGTCAAAGGCATGTACCTGGGTTGCAGGTTCGATCCCCAGACCTTTAGTACTGGGGATCGAGCCTGCAACCCAGGCATGTGTCCTTGAGTGGAATCGAACCTGGGACCTTTTAGTCCACAGGCTGATGCTTTATCCACTGAGCTAAACCAACTAGGACTAGTAGTAATATAAATAGATTTTTGTATTAGATCTGAAAGTGTTGCCTTTTTAATTAAAAAGTTATCAATATTTAAATTGTTAGCCTTAGGTTGCTAATTTTATGTATGTCATGACAGTGACATACAGTGGGTTTTGATACATGTGACACATGGAATATCGCATTGTGGTAAAAATTTGTCATAACAATAGATTGTTGTGTGCTGTTTAAATAATAACCAACATATTAAACCAAAGTATTGCCATACATTAGTACCATTTTATGTAAGTTATTTAGAAGTTGCATTCTTTTCTTCATTGTATATATTTTTATGACTAATGAGAAGAAAACAAAGCTATAATAAATTGTCTTTTAAGAAAATTTAAAGTAATTTGGTCTCTGAGGAAATATTTAATGTATTGAGAGAATTCAACAGGCAAGTGTTATTTCAGCACCATTTGTGATAGCTCTCTATGTTTTGTTATGAGTTTGTGTTAATCAACAATCTGTTTTTATAGCATAGTTTCTTGTAAGTTATGTTGCTAGAATATTCCACTTGTGGGATCATGGCTTTTTCTCTGACACTATTGTATCTTTTTAATTCTTCCATAAATTATTGTTTTAATTAGAAAAAAAGAAGGCAAAGAGTGGTCTGAATATACTGAACCACCATACTACACTGGGCCTCCCTAGTCAACATAAGCTATCTTTCCTGCTCCCTTTGATGAGGTTGTTCTGGTCTTGCCTAAAGTCTTATAAAGCTCTGGATAGTTCAGTTGGTTAGAGCATCACACGCCAAGGTTGTGGGTTTGATCCCCAGTCAAGGTTGTAGGTTTAATCCTCAGGGCACATACATGAATCAACCAGTGAATACATAAATAAATGGAACAAACTGACCTCTCTCTCATCACTAAAAAAAAGAGATACTATATGAAGTCATATACAACACAGTGTAATGCAGATAGGTGCCACCCACATCTGTATGGAGATCTTTAAGTTCTTCTGTACACACATGCTCAAGAGGCTGCAGAAGGGTAGCTCCACATTATCTATATATATAAAAGCCTCAGCAACCATTCTATTGTTTGAATGGTCAACCGGTCACTATGACGCGCACTGATCACCAAGGGGAAGACGCTCAACATACAGGATTGGGCTCCCTCCTGTCTGGATCAGGTCTGTGGGTATTGGGCCAAAACTGGCTATCCGACATCCCCCGAGGGGTCCTGGGCCAGGCCGAGGGACCCCACCAGTGCACGAATCCATGCACTGGGCCTCTGGTTTAACATATGCCTCCTGGTCCATGTACGGAACTACTCTGGCCTCTTGGAGTCTGTTCCATTTTCATTGGAATATCCTGAATGAAAATTATAAATAATATATGAAAAGCAAAAAATAATATAATATATCAAAGAGGAGCTGTTAAGAGTCAAGTTCCAGCCCTGGCTGGGTGGCTTAGTTGGTTGGAATGTAGTCCCATACACCAAAAAGGTTGTGGGTTCGATTCCTGGTTGGGCCTCATATGGGAAGCAACTGAGATGTTTCTATCTCATATCTCTCTCTCTCTCTCTCTCTCTCTCTCTCTCTCTCTCTCTCTCTCTCTCCCCCTCTTCCTCAATCTCTTTTTAAAAACATATCCTCAGGTAAGGATTTTTAAAAAAAAATCAAGTTCAATTTGACTGGACAAAAACAATATAATATCATCCACTGAAATAAAACTACTCCTAATTAACTAAGTAGCTGTACACAATTTTACTTTATTGGCGAAACATAAGGTAACTAATGCAAACACTTGCCTTTAGTGTATCCAGTGCAGAAAGAGCTGCTTCCAAGGCTGGAATTGCCTCAGCTAAGTCACTTTCACACTCATTTTTCAGAAGTTGGGCTTCTTCAGCCTTTCCACTGGCTACCTCTTCATCTAATTTCACAAACTTTCTTTTTGCTTCTACTTGTGCAGACTCTATCTCAATAACCTAAAGAAAAAAATAAAGACAGTTCCTCAAACATTGTATTGCTTTCTCCCTTCTGGATATAAAAGAATGTTTGAAAAGTAGGGAATTTTTAAGGATAGAAGAGCCCAAGATAAAATGAGGAGAAATGCAAATACATGTAACCAAATTTGGTAATAGTCTTTCCACTTTCCTTCAAAAATGAATGAAAGAAACCCAAAGAGATAGCCAATCAAGAGAAAAGGGTAAAGTCCCTAAGATCTAGTGGCAAAATTTGAGGCTTATTTTCTTTTTTTAAATTTATCTTTATTGTTGAAAAGTATTACAGATGTTCCCCTCCCTCCCCCATTGACCCCCTTCACCCTGCTCCTGTCCCCTCAGCGTTATTTAGAACTAGAGGCCCTGTGCACAAAAATTTGTGCACTCAGGGGGGATCCCTCAGCCCAGCCTGTGCCCTCTCGCAGCCTGGGACCCCTCGGGGGATGACCACCTGCTGGCTTAGACCCGCTCCCTGGGGAATTAGGCCTAAGCTGGCAGTCAGACATCGCTCTGGCAGCCCGGGAGTCCTCAGGGGATGCCCACTTGCCAGCAGGGAGCAGGCCTAAGCTGCAGTTGGACATCCTTAGCACTGCTGAGGAGGCGGGAGAGGCTCCCACCACCACCGCTATACTGGCAGCCGTCAGCCTGGCTTGTGGCTGAGCAGCGCTCCCCCTGTGGGAGCGCACTGACCACCAGGGGGAAGCTCCTGCATTGAGCATATGCCCCCCGGTGGTCAGTGTGTGTCATAGCGACCAGTCATTCCCAGTTGTTCTGCTGTTAGGATCAATTTGAATATTACCCTTTTATTATATAGGAGTGCCTGGCCAGCCTGGGTGAGGGGCTGATGGCTGTTTGCAGGCTGGCCATAGCCCCTTCAGTGTGGGGGTCCCCACTGGGGTACCTGGCCAGCCTGGGTGAGTGGCTGAGGGCTATTATCAGTCTGGCCACACACCCTTCAGGGTGGGGGGGGGGTCCTGCTGGGGTACCTGGTCAGTCTGGGTGAGTGGCTGATGGCAGTTTGCAGGCTGGCCAAGCCCCCCAGCAGGGATCCTCACCCCATGAGGGTGTGGCCAGCCTGGGTGAGGGGCTGATGGCTTTTGCAGGCTGGCCACAGCCCCTTCAGTGTGGGGGTCCCCGCTGGGGTGCCTGGCCAGCCTGGGTGAGGGGCTGATGGCTGTTTGCAGGCTGGCTAAGCCCCCCAGCGGAGACCCTTAACCCATGAGGGTGTGGCCAGCCTGGGTGAGGGGCTGATGGCTGTTTGCAGGCTAGCCACAGCCCCTTCAGGGTGGGGGTCCCCACTGGGGTGCCTGGCCATCCTAGGTTAGGGGCTGAGGGCCGTTTGCATGCTGGCCACGGCCCCCAGCCACCCAAGCTCCCAGTGGAGGCTGGCTGGAAGCAGGTATCTGGGATTTATTTACTTTCTATAATTGAAACTTTGTTGCCATGAGCAGGGGCCACAGCTCAGGGCAGGAGGAAAGCTTGGCTTCCTCCATCGCCCGGGCAACCAAACCTCCTGCTTGCTCCAGCTCCGTGGTTGCGGGCCGCCATCTTGGTTGGGTTAATTTGCATATAGTCGCTCTGATTGGCTGGTGGGCATGGCTTAGGGCATAGTGAAGGTACAGTGAATTAGCATCTTTGTCTTTTATTAGTGTAGATAGCTAAGATCTGAAAACAGCCCAAGTGTCCATCAGTAGATGAATGGATAAAAAAAAAAAAACTGTGGTACATTTACACAATGGAATACTATGCAGCTGTAAAAAAGAAGAAGGATCTCTTACCCTTTGAGACAGCATGGAGGGACCTGGAGAGTATTATGCTAATGAAATAAGCCACTCAAAGAAAGACAAGTATCACATGATCTCACTTATATGTGGAATCTAATGAACAAAATAAACTGATGAACAAAATAGACCCAGATACTTTGAAGCATGCAACAGACTGACTATATTTCAGAGGAAAGGGGTAGGAGGCCAGAAGAGATTATCCAAAGAACTTATGGACACAGACAATAGTATGTTAAGGCTTATTTTCAAAGATAATTTTACATATTTCAATTGTCTTCTGACATCAATTAAAAAAAAAAAGGATACTCTACCTGCATCATATGTGCATTTTCAATTTTAGCTTCCTCCAATTTGGGCTGTAACTGAACTAGCTCCAATTTCATTTCACCAACCTAAATAGACAGTTCATCATTAAGTTTTCATAGCTACAATAACTACAGAAACCAAACATAGAAAACTGAAACTTAAATGTATCAGAAAGTATTAGGGCCAGAAAACCTTAACTTTTTCTTCCAGTTATTTACATGACTAGAGGCCCGGTGCACAAAAATTTGTGCACTCCTGGGGGGGGGGACCCTCAGCCCGGCCTGTGCCCTCTCGCAGTCTGGGACCCCTCGGGGGATGACCACCTGCTGGCTTAGGCCCGCTCCCCGGGGGATTGGGCCTAAGCTGGCAATCAGACATCCCTCTGGCAGCCCGGCAGCCCTCGGGGGATGTTCACTTGCCAGCGGGGAGCAGGCCTAAGCTGCAGTCAGACTCCTTAGCGCTGCTGAGGAGGCGGGAGATGCTCCCACCACCACCACTGTACTGGCAGCCGTCAGCCTGGCTTGTGGCTGAGCAGAGCTCCCCCTGTGGGAGCGCATTGACCACCAGGGGGCAGCTCCTGCATTGAGTATCTGTCCCCTGGTGGTCAGTGTGTGTCATAGTGATCAGCATTCCCAGTTGTTCTGCTGTTAGGGTCAGTTTGCATATTACCCATTTATTATATAGGATAGAGGCTTGGTGCATGGGTGGGGGTCAGCTGGTTTGTCCTGAAGGGTGTCCCGGATCAGGGTGGGGGTGCTTGTGGGGTGCCTGGCCAGCCTGGGTGAGGGGCTGAGGGCTATTTGCAGCTGGTCACACCCTCTTCAGGGTGGGGATCCCCACTGGGGTGCCTGGCCAGCCTGGGTGAGGGGCTGATGGCTGTTTGCAGGCTGGCCACACCCCCTTTAGGGTGGGGGTCCCCACTGGGGTGCCTGGCCTGTCCCAGTGAGGGGCTGAGGGCCGTTTTCAGGCTGGCCAAGCCCCTCCCGGTGATGGAAGCTCCCAGCCTCTCCTTTTTTTCTTTTTATTCTGGGATTTATTTACCTTCTATAATTGAAACTTTGTAGCCTTGAGAGGAGCTCAGAGCCAGCCAGGGCGGGCGGGAGGGAAGCTTGGCTTCCTCCATCGCCAGGGGCAACCTAAGCCTCTTGCTCGCTCCAGCTCCGTGGCCATGCCGGCTGTAAGCAGGTATCTGGGCTTTATTTGTCTTCTATAATTGAAACTTTGTTGCTGTGAGTGGAGCTCAGAGCTGGCACGGCAGGTGGGAAGCTTGGCTCCCTCCATCATTGGGGCAATCAAGCCTCCTGCTTGCTCCAGCTCCGTGGCTGCCGGCCGCCATCTTGGTTGGGTTAATTTGCATACAGTCGCTCTGATTGGCTGGTGGGCATGGCTTAAGGCATAGCAAAGGTACGGTCAATTTGCATGTTTGTCTTTTATTAGTGTAGATAAAAGAAATCATGAGAGTGTGGTCAGTTTCCTTTACAAAATATTTTATCTTCCTTGAGTATATGACAGGGCAGCAGGAGAATGCAGTTGCCATGGAAGAAATGCAGACAGAAAAGAAGGTGGCAGCTTGGGGTTATCCCTTTTATATTATCCTATCTAATAATAGACAAACATGGTAATTGACTGTACCTTTGCTACGCCTCCCACTGGCTAATCAGCACGATATGCAAATTAATAGCCAACAAAGATGGCAGCTAATTTGCATACTGCAGGCAGGGTGGGACAGCTCGAACCGCCAGCGCGCTGCCTTCCAGGACAGGCTGGCCGCCTGGGACCCCATCAGCAGGTCCCGGGCGCAGGCCCGCCCCAGAAGCCCCAGCAGCCAGCCTGCCTTGCCACCTTGCCTCCCTGGGACCCAACTGACGGGACCTGGGGCGGCAAGCACGCCTGCCCCAGAAGCCCCAGAAGCTGCCAGATATTGTAGTAACTCTATCAGTAAGCACTCTGAAAGTCAGTGGCATAAATGCACCAATGAAAAGACAGATTATGAGGGTGAATCAAAAACAAAACCCACTTTAAATATAAAGACACATATAGATGAAAAGTAAATGAATTAAGCTGCAGCCAGTTTTGCTCAGTGGATAGAGCATTAGCCCGTGGACTGAAGGGTCCCAGGTTCGATTCCAGTCAAGGGCATGTACCTCAGTTGCTGGCTTGATCCCCAGTCCCTATCAAAGCATGTGCAGGAGGCAACCAATCAATGTGTTTCTCCCTTTCCCTTCACTCTCTCTAAAATTCAATGGAAAAATATCCTTGGGTGAAGATTAACAAAAACAAAGTAAATGGATTAAGTAACATGAAAGAGATTATAAGAAAAATATATTCCAAATTTTGTTGTATAATGGTTATGTTTAAATTATTAACACCTAAGAAATTGGGTGAAGGGTACATATAATATGTTGTAGTATTTTATAGTGTTTTTTTTTTACATTTATGAGATTATTTCAAATTAAAATATTAAAAAATTAAAAAATAATAAAATATTAATTGAAGTGTGTATGCATTACATGAAAAATCTCCTAATTGCTTGTAGCATAATTTATTAAATTGTGCTAAAATTTACAAGGGTTCAATTAAAAAATATCTTAATTCTAAATGATATAATAGAAAATATATAATAGTGCAGTTATAAGCACTTATCTGAAAATAAAAATTTAAAGAAGTGAATTTAAAGAAGGGATTAGCCAAAGAAAATATATGCACAACCCATGGACACAGACAACAGTATGGTGATGGCCAGAGAGAAGTGGGGGGCAAGAGCTGGGTAGAGGGGGCAAAAGGGGGGAAATAGGGACATCCTATATAATAATAATAAAAGGCTAATATGCACATTGACTGAACGGCAGAATGACTGGTTGCTATGATGTGCACTGGCCACCAGGGGGCAGATGCTCAATGCAGGAGCTGCAGCCTGGTGGTCAGTGTACTTCCATATGGGGAGTGCTACTCAGCCAGAAGCTGGCTCATGGCTGGCCAGCGCAGTGGTGGTGGCAGGAGCCTCTCCCACCTCTGTGGCAGCACTAAGAATGTCCAACTAACGGTTTAGACCCGATCCCTTGGGGGCCTAAGCCTTTAGTCGGACATCTCCCGAGGGCTCCCTGGCTGCCAGAAGGATGTCTGACTGCAAGCTTAGGCCTGATCCCCTGGGGAGTGGGCCTAAGTCGACAGGTGGACATCCCCCAAGGGGTCCTGGACTGTGAATGGGCACAGGCCGGGCTGAGGGACCCTCCCCTCCCCCCGAGTGCACAAATTTTTGTGCACTGGGCCTCTAGTTGCTTATATTGAAATAATGCATAATAAGCATTAGAAGACTCATTTTTTAAAACACCAGTCTTTTATTTTACCAGCCATTAAAATAAAAAGACACCCCAGACTTCATATATTCTCTCCAAATTCCAAAAAAAAAGAAAGACTAAAACAAGATGTATCTGAGTCTGTGTGGTCTGGGTAACTTAGTAAACTTCTCTAAAACTCACTTTAATCATCTGTAAGATACAGATCATAAAAGTTTCTACCTCACGGAGCTGTTATGAGGAATAATTGAAGGAATACATGTGAAACATATAACACAGTGCCTGATACATATTATTTCTTACATTTCCTATTATATATTACCATTTTGCGCTGTCAAATGTACCTGAGATTCAGCAAAAGCTAGTTGGTCAAGCCCATTCACGTATCTTTGTTTTGCTTCCACAACAGCTTGTCGCTTCTGAGTCAACAGCTGTCGAAATGAGGCAATAAGTTCAAGATAAGAAGTAGCAGTAACATAGTTATGTCGTCCTAACTCCTGCAAGAACCTAAAAAGAGGCAGATAATATATCTTAATATAAGTAACAGGCTTCAGAAAGTAAGAAGTAAATTCAACATAGCATTAATAACAAGCATTTAAGAATAAAGGTTAATTTTTAAAATTAAAATTTTTTATATGTTTTTATTGGTTTTTAGAGAGAGAGGAAGAGAGAGAGAAACATCATCAACTGACTGTCTCCTCCACACCTCCTACTGGGATCGAGCCTGCAACCTGGGCATGTGCCCTGACAGGGACTCGAACCATGACCTCCTGGTTCCTAGGTTGACGCTCAACCACTGAGTCTCACCCGCTGGGTGAAGTTAATTTTATTTAGAGGGTGCTGAGTACTTGAACTCCATAGAGTTCTAAAATTCTACACATAACCACATTCCAATTTCTTATCTACAAGATATCAAATAGCAATGATGTATTTAAAAAGCACAAATAAATAGATCTGTATCATAGGTGAAAGATATAGGCCTTTTTACATGTTTCATATGAAGATCTAACACTGTAAGGGAACCAAGTTATTGTGTAAGTTAGGCAAGTATAGTAGGAAAGGGGATTGCAGATAGGATAGTAAGAATGAGTCATCATTCTTTGCACAAGTGTGTCACATGTCAGCTGAATGGGGTATGCCAAGAAGTATGAGATTACTACACATACACATGGAAACAATGAAAGCAATGATGTTTCATAGCAAGTATGTAGACTAGAGCCCACGTCTTGATGCAACTGTCCAAGCCAACTATGCTAGCTGGATAGGCAATATACTCTATTCTTAGTGATATGAGCATTTGGGCTTATGTACCTATGAAATGAAAATCTCAGAGATTAACAGAGGTAAAACAGATACTTTTGAAGAATCCACAGCCTACCAACACTCAGTGCCCCATAGCAATATTGGTTCTGTGAAACTTGCTACTCTATCTGACCAGAGTTGGACACTGGACACAAATGAGACTAATCACATTTTGGAACAAATTTGGAATGGGGAGTTGGAAACAGGCAATCAGTCTCTGCCTATAGCTGGAATTGCAAGAAGAAAATAGGGAACTGAGAGGCAGCCAGTTTCCTCCATATGCCTGGGAAGCAGAAAATTCAGTCTGCAAAGAGAAAGAAGTAAGTAGATGTCCAGACAAAAGCAGGAATGAGAAATAAAGAAAAGGCATTTCTGGTTTTAGAATGGCTTTCTAATTCCTACTTCCAGTCACTTCTGAGACCCACCTGAATTCTTTCCCTTAAGCTTTGTGAGACACCTCTGGATCTTTTATGATAAACTCCCCCTTTTTGTTAAAGCTAGATCAAGTACCTTTCTATTACTTGCAATCTGAGGGTCTTTACTAATTAAGTGATCAGAGAGATCTAGAAAACATAGAAACCCTATTAAAATTTTGGACTTTCACAGAAAGAGATGCTTCAAAATATGACATTATTGTAATTTAAGAATTCATTAACCTTTCTGAAAGATCCATAATAGAAGTATGAAAATGTTTGCAGATTGGAACTATCTCTCGTCGTTCAACTTCAGTAAGCTCCAGTGTTTCTAAGAATTTCACAGCTACAAGCTCAAGGGCATCTTCAGGCCATGGCTAAAAATAAGAAAAAGAAAATTTGTAAAATTTAAGATGAATATCCTAATCCAACTATGTAAATTAAGTGCCTTTCTATACAAGAATAATTTAGGGTTGAGAAAATTAAACTCTATTGGGGAAAACAGAATTAGGGGACTGAGGTCACAAGTAAATCTATGAAAGATCTAATTAATATCTCCATAAACTAAAATTAAAGATAACATGAAAGGTCAATGATATTTTCCATATAAAAGCTATACCTCACTGCTTTCCTAACTCTTCCACTTGGATGTATAGGCATCCCAAACTTAGTATGACAGTGGCAGAGGCAGCTAGTTGCCCACCTAATATCTATCAGCCCCTTTTCCTTAGAATTCCAATTATATTCTAGATAGTAACACACCCAGCTAAAAGAGTCCATTTCCTAGACTCCCTTGCAATTCAGAATGGATAAAGACATAGACACAGTTGTTAGGTGGGGATTTCAGGAAAGGCTCTTTAGAGGGTTACATCGAGGTGGCATGCATCATTTTTGCCTTATTTCCCATTATTCTACTTCTTGCCTGGAACACAAGATGTGAAACTTGGAGCTCCAATATCCACCATAGACCATAAGATGACTTTAAGATCGAAACTACATGCTAAGGATAGTAAAGCAGAAAAACTTGGGATTCTGGGACTTTGTTGAGCCACAAAAGCCCCAGTCGGCTTACCTTCAGGTTTTTTTCTATATCAGAGGGAAAACTCTATGTGTTTAGTTTGGGTTTCTGTTACAAATAGCCCATCACAATTCCTAACATTACATCCACAGCTAATCTTTTATTTTCTTCCTCACAAATTTGCTTCTTTTCAAATCTTTCCCGTCTCTGTGACATTCCTTTGCTTTTCCTGGAATATGTCAAGCATGTCCCTGCCTCTGGGCTTTGAACTTGCTGTTCACTCTTGACTAGGACTCTCCTCACCTAAGAATCCCTTTGGTTTACTCCTTCACATCTCTGTTCAAATGCCAACTTATCAGCAAGGTCTTCCCAGAGCATTTTTTCTAAAACTTCATTCCTTCCTTCATTACACTTTCCCTTATCCTGAATTTTTTTTCTTAGCACTTATAAATATTTGATATATAATTATTTGTTCATTTGTTGATTTTCTGTCTCCCCTCTGATTAAAATGTAAAATCCATGAAAGCAAGGACTTTGTTTTTCTCATCACTGCTATCTTTGATATCTAAAATAGAACTTGTCAATATATATTTGAAATATTTATTTGATGAAATTACTTATGTTAAATGAGTAATTAATCTTCATGTGCTTATTAGGATATTTTCCAAATTTCCTTTCACTTAGACTTAACAAGATGCTTGTAATTTTTTCCTTTGTAAGAAAATAATATGTATTTTAAGATCAATTATTTTCAATGTCTGACCCTCTTCCTAGTAAAATTCAAACTTTTTTGGTCAAACACTCCATTAGTAAAAATGTTTTAAGCACACACAGCCAATGTATGCATATTTATTAATATATTATATAGGCATGGTCAAAAGTAGGTTTACAGTTGTGAGCACGCAAAACAGCTTATTTTTGTATTATATATATTTCCATATGAACAACTTTAAATCTACTTTTGCCCACCCCTGTATCCATATGGTTTTATTGTATTAACACATTTTTTAAACCTTAGTAGAGGCTTCTAAAGATTTATTATTAGTGAATTTTTGTCAAAGGCTAGAATAAGTGTCATATGACTTATACATCATTGAAAACATTACAAAAGTTTATCTTTGTGTTCTGAGTGCTTAGTTGTTAATTATCCTGCTAATCATGAAGGTTTAATACTCTCTGTAGCAGTTAGAATGTTTATGGTTAAGACACAGTCTTACCGTGTCTTCAAGGGGGATATTTATAATAAGTTCAGAAGTAGGGTATTTCCAAGTTGCTTAACTTAGAAGTTCAATCATGTCATTGAGGATTCAGTTTTTTCTGTCTTTTTGTTCCACCATTCTCAGTGCATTTTATTTTATCCTTGGGCTTGTCCCAGAATGCTGTGGCAATCGACATTACATCCTCAAGCAACAAGGTGAAAAGACAGAAAAGGACCTTTTCCTACCATGCAATACTTTTTCATAGTAAAAAACACACAACCTCAACAAAACAAAAAATAACAATAAAACACACAACTTTTCCCCAAAGCAAACTTTAACTCAGGACCCTATTGGCAAGGAATGGGTCATGAATAGGCTCATTTATAAGCCAAGTAACAATAATATTGAGAGCACCAATATTTTAGACCAACCAGAAATCAATCTACATAAAGGGTGATTTTCCAAACAATATCACAATTCTGTCAGCAAGGATGGGGTGGGTAGAAAATAACTGTTGATAGGTAATCAATAGTGTCCCCCATGCCATCATAAGCTGATATTGCATGGCATGAGATACCCTGGGGATAAGATTTATCGTTTAACTAGTTGATATAACTCCATATTCCAAATAGCCTTCTGGAATTTTTTTTAATCAACATCTTGTCAGATCTTATTAAGCAGTCATTGGTTTTGCTTCATGATGTGACTAACAAAGAGCATAAGCTAGTTTATGCAATTCTCTTACTGTCCACTTATAATTACATCATATCTCCAATTTTCAGTTCACTACTGGATTCGCTAAGGTTACCCTGCATATCATGCATGGCTATACAAATTGGGCAAGGGTGTCAATGTTAATCCATAGGAAATATTTAATACAAAATGAATATTCCAATAATAGCTTCACTTATTCTCTGAATTGTTTTGCCACCCCTGGTAAGTGTACACCCTACTTTGGGGACTAGAGATCCATCAAAAAAGTCAATGCCTTCCTGATTATGTGACACACAGTGGTTTACACTCACTTCTTGAGTTTCACAAACCCAGGTCCCAAACAATGCCATCAGTTTCTCTGACAGGTTCTGTGTCCCCACTGCTTCATTGTAAATCTTTATTCCATTCTGTTAACCACTTAACTTTGCTTATCTATTTGCAACTCCCATTTCCTTTTTTAAAAAATGTTCCCCAATAAGTAAGAATCATGTAGAATAGAAAGTCTCATGGTTATAAAAAAGATATCCAAAAGTAGTAGAATTGTATTTATAAGATTTCACAAAACTTATGGTAGGACAGGTTTTCTTTGTGTTTGGTTTTGCTTTGGCTACTTAATGAGAGCAGTATTAAGATATGGTTTGCATAAAAAGCAAAATTGTTTCACACAGCTTTTATTGCTGTATAAACACTAAAACATCCACTAGCTGAAATAAATGTGCTATCCTCAAAAGGACAGAGTTAGTTTCTCAAACATGCAATTGACAAATAAGCAAAAGAGAATAAAACAAGTTAGTATCAGAAATTTATTTTTAAAAGAAATTATCCAGTGATCAATAGTCCACATTCTATTGGTTATAAAGCAATTAAACAGAAGGCACCATAAGCTACTGTTCTCAAAAGTGTAAATACTTAATGGTCTTATACAGGCAGTGACAATTTGCCTTAAGATTAAGTGAGGTGGCAGTCATCATTTGGTGCTGGCATGATCCACTCCAAATCATTCACCATACAGCCTCCAATAATTGTTTTGCTTTTCTAAAATAAGGATTAGCTAAATATATGTTAATCATCATGCAGCATCTTTGGCATAAAATCAAATTCCTAGGCAATTTACAAATTCCTTTATAACCTGTCACTGACTCAAAGCTCCTGCTGCCCTCATTGCCAGTCAGTTTCACCAAACTATTTGTAGTTGCCTAAATGAGCCATGCCCTCTGCACTGTTATACCTTTGCACATACTATCCCCATGTAATGGTTGATTTTATGTGGCAACTTGACCATATATTTGGTCAAACATTACTCTGGGTGTTTCTGTGAGGTGTGTTATGAATGAGTTTAATATTTAATTCTACAGAGTCAGAAAAGCAGATTGCCCTCCCTAATGTGAGTGAGCCTCATCCAATCAGTTGAAGGCCTGCCTGAAAAGAACACAAAGGCTGACCCTCCCTCAAATAAGGGGGAATTCCTTTTCCCTGCCTGTCTTCAACCTGGGACATCAGTTTTTTACACTTGAACTGAAACATCAGCTCTTACTGGTCTCAAGCTTGCTGGCCTTCAGACTAGAACTACAGCTCTCCTGGTCTCCAGATTTCCAACTGCAGGTCTTAGAACTCATCAGCCTCCATAATCATGCAAGCTAATTCCTTATCATATATATGATATATCTGATATAAATATATACATGCACATATATATATCTTTACATACATGTACTAGTACATATGTGTGTATATACATAATATACTCTATTGGTTCCTAATATATCCCTCCTATATGCAATTAACACATTTTCATATGTCAGAGACTCATAGTCTCAAGTATAACTTTTGCACATCAAGATTATGGCTCTTTCATATAATCATTACTGCTCATTTGCTGATTGCCTTTTCTGTCTTCTTGTCTAGTGCATGAGCAATTTGTGGGAAACATGTAGTCTTACCAGACCCTGGTGCCAAGCACTATGCCTTTCATTAGAGTAAGTGATCAAGAAACATTTGCTGAATGTATTTTAATGAAGCTTGAGTAAGATTTCAGTAAAATTACAAAAGATTTAGTTGCCCTCTCCAATTAAAAAAATTACAAACCTGAAACCAGTCAATGGTACAGCAATTGATGAGGGATGGAAACTGTCTCAGGCGATTTCGAAAAGCATCTCCAATGGGGCTAAAGGCCACTACAACGTGAAGATTATCTTTGCAGCGATTCACAAAGAAAGCAAACAGGGCTAAGGGACTAAGTTCACCATGTTTATTGCCAGCCTGAGCTACAGGACGGACACCCTAGGGAATATCAGAAAATAAAAAACTGATAATTAGAAATAGGTAAGCTGATAATGAAATTAGTAGATATTAGAATATTAACAATTCTTGATACTCCCCTTATAAATATCTTTACATTTTTGTTTTCATACCAATAGAATAGCTTTAATATAGTTTGTACTTAGAAGACTTCTTCCAACTCTGTGATTTTATAATTTAAAAACAAATATCTGCCAATAATATGACATAAAGATATGAACAAAAAGTTCACCAAGATATAGTCAACATTGTTTTGTGTGTTTTTTATTGCTTAAAGTATTACAAAGAGTATTACATATGTCTCCTTAACATTGTTTTTAAGAGGAAAATATCTAAAGCATCTAGTTAAAACGTTATAAAACACCCATATATGGTGATTTTATACAACTGTTAAAAATAATGAGTTGTATCAATATAAATGTTATTGTAAGATCAGCAAGATAAAATAAGTGAAAAAAAAACATACCAACAAATTGTGCAACAGTACATATATGACAATTCTCTTTGTTAAATTAAAATATATATCAGGTGTATGTATAAGTACATACACACCTTTTTAGAAATATATATATATATATTTGTTGATTTCAGAGAGGAGGGGAGAGGGAGAAAGAGAGAAACATCAATGATGAGAGAGAATCATTGATCGGCTGCCTCTTGCACGCCCCTCATTGGGGCTCAAGCCCGCAACCCAGGCATGTGCCCTTGACTGGAATCGAATTCGGGACCCTTCAGTCCACAGGCTGCTGCTCTATCCACTGAGCCAAACCAGCTAGGGCCATATACACCTTTTTATGGAAGCAATCACAAAGAAGTGTTAGTAGTGATTACTTTTGGTGAGCTGAAATTAAGGGACAGTGTGAGAGGGAGGCTTTATTTTTTATTTTGGACATTTTTCTTGGTTTATATCATTCTTTATTTCACTTTGGACATTCTTATGCTGAATTCTCTAACTTTATACTTATAATAGTTTCATTAAAACATGTAAATAGTGTTCTCTGGTAATGAGATTATGGGTCACTTTTAATTTTCTGTCTTTGTATAAGAAGAAATTTTATGTGAGGTTAGGCATAGTGGCTCCAGAACCAAACTTTTTTTTTTTAATCCTCACCTGAGGATATTTTTCCATTGATTTTTAGAGAGTGGAAGAGAGAGGGAAAGACAGAGAGAAATATCAATGTGAGAGAAACACATCGATTAGTTGCCTCCTACATGCCCCTGACCAGGGCCTGGGCCGAGGAGGAACCTGCAACCAAGGTATGTGCCCTTGACAGGAATAGAACCCAGGATCCATCGGTCCGCAGGCCAACGCTCTATCCACTGAGCCAAACCGGCTAGGGCCGAATACACCTTTTTATGGAAGCAATCACAAAGAAGTGAAAGTAGTGACTACTTTTGGTTAATTCAAGAACCAAACTTCTTTGAATTCAAATCCCCAGCTTGCAATTTATATCCTATGTGACCTGGGAAAGTTATTTCACCTCTCTGTAACTTAGTGTCATCATCTTTAAAATGGGTAAAAGAGTATCTACATCAGAGAGTTGTTGAGGGATCAAATGAGTTATAACGTGAACACTTAGAATAGTTCTTTTTTTTAATTTTTAAAAAATATATATTTTATTGATTTTTTACAGAGAGGAAGGGAGAAGGATAGAGAGTTAGAAACATCGATCAGCTGCCTCCTGCACACCCCCTACTGGGATGTGCCTGCAACCAAGTTACATGCCCTTGACCGGAATTGAACCTGGGACTCTTCAGTCCCCAGGCCGACGCTCTATCCAGTGAGCCAAACCAGCTAGGGCTTATAATAGTTCTTGACATAGGTAACTGTTTGCTTTTATTTTATATCCTACACTTCTCCTTGTTCAAAGCACAAAAGGTTTCATAGTCAATAAAGTGTCTTATAAATAGATTAAAAATTTTTATATAAGGAGTGGTCACAATGATCATATAATTTCCATTGTTATTACAATGAATTTATTTTTCAAAGAATTCTCTACTATAGCTATGTTCTACTTTATATCCATGGAAAACTATAAATCAACACAGTCTATGCATTCTGATGGTAATTCTCAAATTATGATCACTATGATCAATGTCAGTTTATAAAAAATTATGTTAGGTGGTATACCTGCACTAAATAAGGTAAATAAGAAGTCACTGCTCCATTGAGAAAAACGTTGCAGTAACTTCATTCTGCAAAGAGTGCAAATGGCACCATGGAAAAAGTCATCTGGAAATGTACGTGTGAGGCTGGAACTCTGATGAAGTCAGACAGATGTGCTGAGTCTTTAAGGGATGCCCTGTAGGTAGGGCCAGAGCCAAGGTGTAGAGGTCAGTTATCAGGAATGAGGTTTAAAGTAAAATCTTTGTCAGAGGGATGAAATAAACGAAGTCCAAGACAGTCTTCGAAGTGGGATGCATAGGATAATGTACAGTGTAGAGAGAAAATAATAGAACTTCTTTCATATTACCTTTTATATTTAAAAATATCAATATAAAGCAAGCAAAAACAGGAATACATTTCAGTATCCCTGAGTTCTGACCATGGCTCTGTCCTTGTGGATAAATTGATATGGTGTTCCTAGGCTTGAGTGGAACATGAAGAAAAGAAGTTCTTAAGGCCACTGTTTGATCATACAATAAAATAGTAGTGAAGCAAGTTTTGAAGCAAAATGACAAGAGGAAAAGATTAACAACAGCTAAAATGAGCAGGAAAGCTTAGCAAAGCTTAGGAAATCCTCCTACTCATGGTAGCACACGAGAGTGTGGGGGATGAGCTTATTGTATGAATTAGAAAAATCACCATTCTTCAACAGCCTGGGCCACATTCTTGACATCGTCCAGATAAAAGTAAAGAACTTGGGATCTTTTTTGTTTTTCCTCCTTCTCCACTCAGACTACAAACTGGTAATGTTCCCTTTACTGAAGGCTTTTTAAGTGTCTGACACTCCATAAAAGCTTTATTTCATTTGATCCTCAGACCTCACAACAACCCTATGTAGGAGGAACTATAATGTATTTAATATTTCCATTCCATACAAGAGAAAAGCACAGTGCTTGAACTACTAGAGTAAATCCATTTTACTCCACATTTTATCACTGAAGGCTGGAATGAAGCATACAGGTGTGAGTAATGTATTCTGTGGGTAAAAGTAGTTGTAGTAATGAGAAAGGGGAAATTACTAGCAGAGATCTTGCAGGGGAAGTTCTTCGAAATGGTGGTCGAAGGGCAGGGTATCTGAAGTAGGGGTGCTTCACAATTGTGTTTTTTGTCAATTTAATCACTAAGTATGGCGCTCAGATATGTCAGAACTATTAAGACAAGTAGTTTTATTAAGGGTTTTGGAAATTTTTAACCAGTGGTAAAACATAAAAGCTAACCAAGTAATGTTTTAAAGCTATATTTTCTCATATCACTAACCCTAAGACATGATTTGAAAACTCTTATCACTCATAAAACATGCTAAATAAGATAAAACTGATGAAACAAATTGCCATCATTATGAAAAAAAGGAATTATAAAATAAAATTTTGTCTCACAATTATAGTAAAAGCAATTTAAAATTCATCAAAAAAGATGAATTAAATAATAAACTTAAAATTTTTAATTACCAACATCTTCTGCACAAGCTATATATATCCTAAAGAGCAGAGAAAAAAATTTCAAGCTAAGAATATTTCTGTGCTGGGAGAGGCACTCCCTAAAAAAAAAGTATTTACCTCCATCACTTCTTGTTTTTCATCTGCTGCAAAAATGTTAGGTACTTCTCCGGTGTTGAGCACACTGTCGATATCCTCAAGGAAAGCTTCCTCTTTTATTTGAGTGTCCGTGATTAGAAAGACTGTCTTCTGGCCTCTCATACCCACATTCCTTAAGAGAACCTTAAAATAACAATGTACTTGAAAGCGGATTATGGTAGACATTTATCGTTTTTGCTTTCCCTCTCCTTCTCCTTCTCTTGACAACAATTTCTGAATTTTAGAGCAGTACCTCTTCCCACATCTAGTGAGGATGTCAATCAGGGACTCTGTTTTGCCCATCCCCTGGGTGGGAGACCCCCAGCTGGTCAGCGTTTCTCACGCCCTAGCCATAGTCACTAATCAGAGGAGGGCATATGACTTAAGTGAGCCCAATCATAGTCTTAATTGAGGGACAAAGAGGGATTTGAAAACAGAAAGAATCTCTATCATTCTGAGATAGAAAATATAAAAGTCTGTAATTTAGAACTACTTGGGGCCAACTGTGTTGCCACATGGAATGAGTCCGCTGGAAAAGAAGCCAAATGGAAGCAAGCAGAAGATAGAGTAATTACTGAGGACTTCATTTGAGCCAGTAAATTCAGCCATGTCAAAAGCCTATCTACCTCTGCACTCAAATCATGCAAGACAATAACTCTTTTGCTTAAACTAATTTGAGCTTTTTGTTTTGTTTTGTATGTCAATTGCAACCAAAGATTCCCAACTAATATGAAGATATGAACTCGGTGGTATGCTGGAGCTGACTTATTTGGGGTGGTAGAACTGATTGTTAAAATTTCAGGAACTTGTGAATAGATTGTTAAACAAAGCCAACATTAAAAATTAAATTATATAAACTTATAATTAAATTATATTAAAAACAAAGGTAACAAATACACTCCTAGTTTATTATGTTTTCTATCACTTATGCTATGGAGGTTATTTAAATTAACTGTATTTATACAGTAAAAACCCAGGTACGGTGTTCAAATACATAACTCTTTACAACTCTGTTTTCAGTGACATCACGTTGATAGCTTTAATCATTCATGGTGGGAGTTTTTACACCACAGAAATTTGCCAATGCTACAAAAGAGAAGTTCCCCTTACCCTCCTGGAGAGTTAGTTGCTAAACATTTGCCAGCATACCACTAGAAATATTTCAAGTGAAGACAATAGTATCACTACTTCTGCAAATAATTTTTAAAATAAAATGTTAAATTTATTTAAAAATAATATATTTAACGTTTTAAATAAATTATACCATTTAAATAACTGCTGAATTTTAATATTATACAAAACTATCCCTTTTTTCACTAAAGCCATCTTCCAATATGCAAGCTGTTGAGATTTTAGAAATAATTTTCTATCATCAAAAGTAGGCAAGCTAGTTTTTTAAAAAGTTTTGTGCCTAATTATGAGTTTTATAATTATTTTATAGTGTTACTTTATTATTATTATTATATAAAAATAGAAAAATAAGTACCAATATGTTTAAAAGCCATATTGAAATACACAGTGTGTGAAACTGTTTCCAAGTAGAAAAAGAGTCAAAATTTCAAAAATATTATTTACATGCCAGGGATAATACAAAGAGCTATACATACATAGTATAATTTAATCACAATAACCTATAAAATAGGTAGAATTATCCAAATTTTACAAATTAAGAAACTAGAGAGTGACATTAGTGAGATGTCACACTAGGAAGCTCCAGGTTCCATTTCTCCTGGAGGCACCAAATTAGCAAACTACAAAACAAAATACCTTTGTGAGAACTCTAGAAACTAAGTAAGAGGCTGTAGCATCCCTAGGAGTACATAATAAAGAAGGGACAATACAAGGAGGGTAAGAGAATTTATTGCATTTTTTTCACCCAGCATAGAGTAACACAATTAGGAGAATACCACCAATTCCTGGCTCCTTCCTCAGGACAGAAGGAATAGAGTAGAACTTGTATCCTGTATTCTGGATTTATCTGTGGGCTGCCTAAGGCACCAATTTCTCTCTTGCCTGACTCAGAACACTAATAGGAATAGGAACTTAGTTTGGAAATGAGGTTGGAGGCCACTGAAAACAGTCAAGAACCCCAGCGCAATGGAGCAGCAGAATCTGAAGTTCCACCAAAAGGTGCCAGGGGAAGAAAGAGATTAGGGCAAAATAATATAATAGAAACCAACTCTGAAAGCTCATGAGAAGAAAAAGGAAATTAAAATGGCCCAAAGCACCTGTATATACTAGAATAAAAGCACATGCACAACCTCAAAGAAGATGCTTGCCCAGAAAAGTTCTGAGAAGTCACAGAACCTCTAGTCATGCTGATTGATGTTTCCCCCCTACATGAAGTCAGACTGTAAAAAGTGGGAGAGGTGGCAGTTTATCAAGTACTCAATACGCTAAAAGAGAATATAATATATCTAAAGGAAATCAGGAAAACAATGCATCAACAACAAAATGAGAATATCAATAGACACAGAAACTTTAAAAAATAATAACTAAGAAATTCTGAAGCTGAAAAATACAATAACTGAACTTAATACTGAACCCAAGTTTGGCTGCCTACCACATGAAAAGCCAATAGTTTAGAGGCGTGGTTGGTAAATCGCGGCTTGAGAGCCACATGCGGCTCTTTGGCCCCTTGAGTGTGGCTCTTCCACAAAGTACCATGTGCAGGCGCGCACATACAGTGCGATTGAAACTTTGTGGCCCATGTGCAGAAGTCGGTATTTTGTGGAAGAGCCGGTATTTTGTGGAAGAGCCACACTCAAGGGGCCAAAGAGCCGCGTGTGGCTCGCGAGCCGCGGTTTGCCGAGCCGCAGTTTGCCGACCACTGGTTTAGAGGAAAGTGCTGGTACAAGGAAAGCTGGTTTATTCAAGAGCCAGACACCTGAGAAGATGGGGAACTCTTGTCACAAAGACCATCTTATCTCAGTGCAGGCAAGGCTTTTTATGAGTGTGGATTAGGGGGTGAAGGGTGGGGGGAGAGGATGGCAGAACAAAGGAAACCAGAGGATGTTGTAGGTTCTCAGAGGTGCTATGCATTATGCACTAGTCTGCATAGTCTGCTCTGATAAATACCTCGGAGCAGGTTAAGCTATGATCTTGTTTTCATCAGTTGAAGGTGAGCAAATCTCCTGAAGCCAAAATGCCTGAAGGCTGGAGTCTGCTTCCTTTGAGGTTAGGTTTTAGAATCCTTTAAGCCAGCAGTTCTCAACCTGAGGGTCGCGACCCCTTTGGGGGCCGAACGACCCTTTCACAGGGGTCGCCTAAGACCATCGGAAAACACATATATAATTACATATTGTTTTTGTGATTAATCACTATACTTTAATTATGTTCAATTTGTAACAATGAAAATACATCCTGCATATCAGATATTTACATTACGATTCATAACAGTAGCAAAATTACAGTTATGAAGTAGCAACGAAAATAATTTTAAGGTTGGGGTTCACCACAACATGAGGAACTGTATTAAAGGGTTGCGGCATTAGGAAGGTTGAGACCACTGCTTTAAGTACCAAAACAATCTTTAAAAATAACAAAGTTGGAGGATTACCTGATTTCAAGACATTATAAAGCTACAGTAATCAAGACAGTGTTGTTTTAGCACAAGGACAGAGAGGCCAGAAACAGACTCGCACTTAAAACAGTCAACTGATTTTGACAAAAACGTTAAGGAAATTCAATGGTGAGGCAGGTAGTCTAGATAGAACAATGGAATTTCTCTATGGAAAACCATGAACTTCAACCTTACCTCATACCATGTGTAAAAATGAACTCGAAATGTGTCAGAAGATTGTTCCCAACAGATATCTGATCCTTAAAACAGGATTCCTGATCATTCCTTGCCAGTTTCCATGTTCCACTGTCCTAGCTGCAGAGAAAGATTGAGCTCATTCTTGACTCTCCTTTACCTCAGGTCCATTCTTCCAATTTCTATCCAACCTTCCTCCAATTCTACTTCTACCTCCTTCCATCTAGTGCAAGCCACCATTTTCTCCATCCTGGACAATTGCTATGGCCTGAAGT